TAAAACACGAGGCGTAGCCGAGTGGTTTTAGACCCGATAAAACACGATCTGCGAGTTTATTAAACGGCTTAGAAAACTCATGATGTATGTTCTCATATTGTACAGAATTCTTTACGAAATGAACCAAGTTTGATAGAGAAAATCCAAGTTAAAGTTTATGCAAATGAAGACGAATCTATATCAGATATAAAATCACCTTCATGATCATGATTTCTATTGTGTTTTCTTCATGAATTATTAAGGAGTTTTCTAAATTACATATAGCAATTATAATTATTTTATATTAAACTACAAGGACAATGATTAATAGCTCCATGGTCCGTTTGGTCCAAATGAACAATTCAGTTCAAGGAAACACTAATAAAAGCATCACAAATTGGCTTTTCACATGGTTATATATAGTGACTTGCATACCCATTTTGACTGTTTTTTCCTTTGATTTATAAAGAAAGTGACCCCTATATATCGCATCATACAGGCTGTCGTGTTACTTAACCTCGTGTTGTTTGACTGTTATGTGTTTAGTCACGACCTTCTTTATTAACTGAATAACCACGTGTTATACTAATTTACCTATATCAATAATGATAACACAATATCTACCTTCTGCAAGGGCAGGTATACGATTTTTCTTTCTACTGTTTCTAGTGTCTCTTCATCAGACTAGACCTAAGTTCTCCCTGACTTTCAATGAGGGTTTCCACTCTCTCTTTGGCCTGACTGTAGTTTCTGTTGTTTCCTCCTGTCACGGTTCCTGTTTCTTGCTTTCTGGCGGCACAACTGCTAGCTTGTCCAGATCTGGCCACTTAGATGTCAACTCTGCGCTGAACATGGGAACTGGCGTTCTTATCCTTCTTCCCATTAATAGCTCTGCTGGTGAGTACCCACAGGCTAGTGGCGTTGCACGATAGGCCAACATGCCTGCAGCTTAGTCTTTTTCTTTCTTTAGTATACTCTTTCCCGTTCTCACTCCGCGTTCACCTTCCCCATTGGCTTGAGGGAATCTCGAGCTTGAGGTGCTTGAATCCCCACGTGTTTGCAAAGTGGCTGAATTCAGCGCAATTATATTGCCGGCCATTGTCTGAACGAACTTCTTCAGGTTTGTGATCAGTTTCTACGTAGATAGGTTTTCCAATGATGTACTCACTTGACCTTTCACATGCCCAGGTTAACGCCAGCAAATTTTTCTCTATTTGGGAATACTTAGACTCTGTAGGTGTTAGGGTTCTTGAGATGTCTACATGTGTCATCCGCCTGCAACTGCAACACTACGCCTAGTTCACAATATGACGATATGTCAGCTGAGATCTTATTTGTTTGGATCGTACAAAGCTAGTATGGGAGTCTTCATTATACTTTTCTTGGTGTCTTTAAATGCTCTTTGTTGTGATGTTCCCTATACTCATGCTGTCTCTTTTTGGAGTAGGTCTCTAATGGTTTTGGTTCTCTCTGCAAGGTGCTCGGTAAAGCTGTCAACTGATTTATCATGCCAAGGAACATCCGTACTCGTGCACATTTTGGGGTGGCGTCATGTCTTGTATGGCTTTCACCTTGTCTGGATCTACTTCGATGCCTTCCGAACTTAGTTTGTGACCAAGTAACTTCATTCTGGGTAAACTGAACACAGTGTCATGCCTGCTTTCTTTATGCGCTGGAGAACTACTTCTAGCCTGTCCGTCATGCTGCTTTTGGCTGGCGCGGTGTACTAGCACGTCGTCGATACTGTACTCTACTCCTTCTATGCCTTCAAGTCAGGGACCGCGGAGACGGAGGGGCTACGGTCACCCACATTTTGTGTCAAAAATTTTTTTTCAATAGTTGTTGGAGTTTTTTTATTCTCGGGCTGGTAGTGAAATTTCAGTAGTCGTTGAGCGTGACTGGACAGGACATTCTTATTGCGGGGCTTCTGTATTTTGGGCGGTTACATGATGAAACTCATGATGGTAACCAGACAAATAGTTAATCACATAAACGACGCCTTCTTTTCAATACTTTGCGACGAGTATACTGATATCAGCAACAAGGGACAACTGACTCTATGCATTAGATGGATTGACGAAGAACTTGAAGCACATGAAGAATTTTTAGGGTTTGTTAACATTTCTAATATTTGTGCCGACGCTATAGTAGTCAAAGTCATCAAAGACCTGTTTATTAGGCTTGGTTTACCTTTTAACAACTGCCGAGGGCAATGCTATGATGGTGCCAGTAACATGCTCGGCAGTAAATCTGGGGCGTAGCAGCTAGAATCTTAAAGATGCAGCCTAAAGCCCACCCCACTCACTGCCATGGTCACTCACTTAGTCTTGGTATTAAAGACGTCACCAAAAACTCAAAGATATTGTCCAACACCATGGATACTGCTAAAGACATTACGACCCTCATCAAGTATTCCCCAAAGCGTGAATGTAGTCTGGGACAAATAAAATACAATTTGGAGCATGAAGACAGAATAGCCAGCCCCACTGTTGGTGGCATCGTATCACTCTGTCCAACAAGGTGGACGGTTAGAGCAACCTGCTTTCGGCGCATTCTTGATAACTACTCCGCCCTAATGGAAGAGTGGAAGGAGTCCCTAGCAGATCAGCTGCAACTGTCATGCTATATGTCATATGATACCATAGCATTGACTGAAACCCTATATCCATCTATCAGACTGTATGATACACATTTGTAGCCCGAATTGATATACTCAAAATAAAGCCATATTTC